CTGTTTTGGATATATGTTATGCAGCTGCAACTTCAGCCTTATTTTGTTTGTTTTGGCAGAATAATTACTCTATGTTCTAAATAATTACTCTATAATGCAGCAACTTTAGTCTATATGTTCTGCATTTTGAAACAACATCTTATGGTTCTATGCCTTGTACAGAAGTTGTATATTACAGCACTTTCAAAATTCAGCAACTATAAATTAAAACAACGGTTTCAACATCTGAATATAAACAGAAGTTTATAACAAAATTCAGTTGTATTTATACAACATCTGAATATTACAACAACAGTTTCAAAATAGAAATTTAAAGCAACAACAGAAATCCGTCTTCTTTTTGCTCATCAGTCAACCAAAATTCATCAGTCATACAGTTTCCATAAAACGACCAACAATACAACAACAATCGTCAAAAGGATCCGTCTTCTTTTTGCTCGAACTTTCTCCTCTTCAAAAGCTTTGACTCTCTTTAATAAACCCCAAATTATATTCTTTGCTTGAGTAGGCATCTCATTGTCATACCAACAGAAATAATCACATCCACCCTTTTTCTACAAATATCACAAAACACTTTTAATCAATTTTTATCAAAGAAAATAATTCATAAAACAAAATTTACAAATTATGAACAAACAATTTACCTTTCTGATTTTGCAAGCAAAAAACCTACGACCTGGATTTAATTGGGTCCAAGAAGTATTCAACTTTGGAGAAACACCACACTTATAGATTCGAGCAGCAACGCAAGGTGACATTGACGAGTTCGTCAATTCCGAGAAGTTCGACATTAATAAACACAACAACAACAGAAATGAGAGGAAGAAGAGAAGAGAAGAAATTAATTGATACCAAGAAGAGAACAGAAATGAGAGAAAGAAGAGAAGAGAAGAAATTAATTGATACCAAGAAGAGAACAGAAATGAGAGAAAGAAGAGAAGAGAAGAAATTAATTGATACCAAGAAGAGAACAGAAATGAGAGAAAGAAGAGAAGAGAATAAAAGATTTGCTGGAGAATTGCTGGAGAAATCTAAGAAGAAGAGAAGAGAACAAATAGGTTTTTTAAGAATTGGGAAAGGGATTAGAGTTTAAATAATAATTGACAATCCATGTTACCGTTATGTGTCTAATTGGGAAAGGAAAAGTCACTTTTTGGAATCCTTCACGCGCCTAAATAGGTTTGAAGTCACGCTATATGCCACCAGCAAAAAACGTGTCTAATTGGCATGAGAATTTCCTAAGAAACATGTCTAATCGGAAAAAGGTCTAGTTTAAGTGTCTAAGTGAAAGATCGTGCCAACTTTAGGTGTCTCCATATGTATTACGCCAAATTCTAAAGTGTTTGACTGTGGTTCTCTTTACTTGTTCGACTGATTTTTCATATTTATGTTTTAATCCCTAGGGTTTCTACTTATTTCACTGCCTATTTCAATATTTTGCCCGTTATTCATTAATTCTGTCAATTAAAAGGGATTGACTGATTTTATTTACCTAATTAGGGTTCAAATTATATTTTTTGCCAAGATTGGTACTTCTCTGTGATTTCTTTCCTTATTTGTGACTCATGATTGGTACTTTTTCCTTAATTGGTTTATTAGCCTGATTTATGGGATTTAATTGCTTTAACCGACTCCTAGAGGGTATTTGATTGATTTATTTACCTTATTGAACCTGTAACTTGGCTGTTAATTGATTCTCCCTAATTTAAGGGGTGCTTTTCGGATTCTGTTGAATTATTTGATTGGGTTTAGCCCCAATTAACTATTTAATTTTACTTGCATACCTTATTTGGAACTCTTAATTATTCTTTGCCTTATTTGTTTTACTCTGCTAAGTGCTATATAATCTCCCCATTCCGACTTTTGAAAAGGACACAAACATTAGTTCATCAATACTCTCACTCTCTCAAAAGCTCTTTATTCTCTTCTGTTACTTTCAATTCTCACTAACCTAGCCGGTTGTAAGCCAAGGCTAGCTTATGTACTCTAGCCCTTCAAAATACTCTAGTTGTGTGTATTGGTCATGTCTAAGACTTATGTGTTCTCAACATGTCTTTGTTGTAATCTTTGTAACTAACTTGTCAATTCCACAACCTCTTGAGAAATTTGTGTATTTGTTTGATTATACACTAGGTTGTATTCTATTTGTCCCCCAACCCCTCTCTCTCTCCATGTGTGGAACCTGTTTGCCCCAAAATGTTTTTGAAACTGTGTGTTTTGTGACTTGTATTCTGATTTCAGAAAATGTTTTTTCATACTTTTCTCAAACTATTTACCACCCTAACTAGTACTGGTTTAAGAAAAGTTTTTCACTTCTAAGGACCTCTTGCTACTGTTTATCAAAATACTTTCAAATCAGGTCAAGCACTCTCACTTATTCTTAGGTTATTAAGTTCTGCCCCTCTGGTATGTGTACTGCTTAGAGGTCCCTGAGATCTCTCTAAACTCTGGCATATCAGGGCTGACACTTCTACACTGCACATAATCAGTCTTTATTTGAGGAAAGTCTAGGTGTGAGCACTGCCCGGGATCCTTGAGGTCCTTAGGGAACTTTGACGCTCCTAGACATGAATTGGGCTATGGAACTTTGGGCATTTGAGACTAGTGAAGGCTTGGTACACCAGGATTGCTTTGGGCCTGCTTCAGGCTCCCCATAGCTTAACTTCTATTCTATTTATGTAATTTTTNTTGGGCATTTGAGACTAGTGAAGGCTTGGTACACCAGGATTGCTTTGGGCCTGCTTCAGGCTCCCCATAGCTTAACTTCTATTCTATTTATGTAAATTTTATTCAATCATTGGTCTGTAATAATTAATTATAAATAGATAATGGGGTGACTAGTGAAAATGGGGGTAGTTGTATAATATGGGTAAAGCTGGGTAGATAACATGCCTATAGGGTTCATTTGGTTCAAATGTGTTTAATTAGATAACATGCCTATAGGGTTCATTTGGTTCAAACGTGTTTTATTAGATAACATGCCTATAGGATTCAAATGTATTTTGTTAGATAATATGCCTATAGAATTTTGCTTTGGTTCAAACAAATTCTGCTTGCTTTACTTTACATAATTAGAAGTCATGCCTAATATCAGCTTTAATTATAGAAATCATGCCTATAGGATCTAAAACCAGTTTATTTAGATCTAAAATCAGTTTAATTTTAACTCACGCCTGTAAGTTCTAAATCAGATTAACTGACCTACTCATTTCTTTAATAGGCTTCAACGCTGCATTAATTATTATTACTAGAAAGCATGCCTATAGGATCCAGATTGCCCGCTTTAAAATGGTTTACTGCATTCCTGATTAATGATTAGATACAATGCTTATAGGATATCACTATTACATGCCTAGGCAAGCCTATAGGTCGATTAAAATCCTGCAAACTATAAAACAATGCTCTATTATTTGTGACTGCTCATATGCAACAGGTCTAAAATCAGTAGGCAAACTAAATAGGTCTTTGACACTTTGGTCCTAACTCAATACTGCATATTCTCTGCTCACCTAGATATCATGTTCTAGGGCTTCTTTTAAATACCTAAAACTGTGTTTAAGACTTGCACTTGCTTGCTCTGTTTGTGGAGGTAAAACTTGAGCCTTTAATTGTTCTATCTTTGGTCCAATCCTAATTGTTTTTGGTTGTCGCCTAGACTTTTCTCCTTTAAGTACCTTAGGATAGTCTAGAACTACCCAAATTAGAGGTCTTAAATACCTCATGTCCACAAGGAAGGGACGGGTAGTGCACACATATGATATATTTTAAGGTTTCTAGAACGCTTAGGCTATGACCAATGAGAGCGAATTGGGTAGTAAAGATATGATGACTGCGCGCTAATGTCACGTGTAACCCCTCATTGAGGAATGATTACCGGGAATTGCATGGGTGTGATCCTGTAGGCTAACCAACCTAGGACCCCTCTTTCCCAATTCCTATGTGTTTTAAATGAACTTCCTTTTCTTTACGTATATATATATATATATGTAAGTTGTTCAAACCTCTCCCTTGCTTCCATTACCTGAATCATATGTGTGTTTAGAATGTGAAAACATGCCTTTAGTTGTGAATATGTGTTGAAATTATTTACTTGTAAAATGACCAATTCNTGTGAAAACATGACTTTATTTGCGAATATGTGTTGAAAATATTTACTTGTAAAATGACTAATTCACATAATTTAAGTTCGGCCGGGACCCACCGTTATGGACCGCGAGGGGTGCCTAACACCTTCCCCTCAAGGTTATTTCGAGCCCTTACCCTAATCTCTGGTAATGCAAACTAGTTCATGAGTTAATTTCTCTAGGTGCCCTAACACACCATAATCCGTTAGGTGGCGACTCTTCAAATACCCAACTCCCAAAAGGAAATCACTTGTTCCCCCATGAATGTCGAAACCCGGACTTTCCCGTCAAAAAGGGAAAAAATGGGGCGCGACAACATGGCGACTCTGCTGGGGATATTTTAGGCTCTTACCATAACGAACTTATTTTTGTGAATTAGTCCAAGCATGCTTCATCCCACGTACCATTTCCCCTTATTTGAATCTAATTGTCCATTTTTCAAAGCATTTGTGATTCTTTTATTCTTGAAACTGACTTGTCTCTTTGTTTTCTTTTCTATAACTGTCTTTCAATTATTTAAATATTGCATTTATTATTTTCTTAAGTGCAAATACTTGACAAAATGCTATTTATTATTGCATAAATCATGCTCAACATCATACTCCACTCGTGCGTAACCAATCCTATAGCAACGCTTGATACGTGTTTGCGCTCTTCCTATATATCACCCTTAAAATTCGGAAAGGCGTATTTGCGGTAAAACTAGTCGATCAGCAGTACGTTCGATGGTTACGTGCCTTTCCCCCTCAAATTGTCCACTTGAGGTCCAAGTCTAGATCTCTATAGCAGTCTTAATCTTATTAAGTTGTACATGCATCATAGTCAAACCTAGCTGGGTTAATATGTTAACCGCATAATAACCCTTTAAGACGAGCCTTGTCCAAAAGTCCATCAGGTTTTTCATAATCCCAACGGACGTAACCACGATTATGTGCATTAATTTGGAGAAATAAAGTTCCAATATGCTAATCATTACTGTATAAATAGATGAACCTGGAGGGGGAAGGGCCTAACTCTCTTTGCTTTGCAGAAATTGAGGCACGAAGTCCCCAGATTCGGTGGTTGGTAGCATACCCTCACTCTTGCTAGATTGGTGGATGGATCTTCCTTAATTTGACCAAAACCATGTGAAACGAGTCTTAGGAAACTTGCCTTCTCTATTGGACCTTCATCCCAACAAAATGTTGATCGAGGTTGAAACTATGTTTTGGGACAAGGAAAGGGTTGTGTTCCGTTTTGGGAACATAGAAATAACTTCCCTTCTAGAAGAAATAGAAGGATTTGGTAGGTTGCCTTGGGATAGCCCTAATCTGTTAGCACCTGAAAATTGCACTGCTAAGGGATTTCTGAAGAAGATGGGGCTGGAGAAGAATGATAACTTGAAATGCCTAAAGGACTCCTACATACCTTTTTGATTTCCTTTATGAAAGATACAACCACAACAGCTCTTACCGTATTTTTGATGATGAGTTCTCAATCACTTCTTTAGGTTGGATTCATCATAGGGTCTTCGTGTTTATCATGTATTTCGTGGGCATGCTGGTATTTCCAATCCAAAGGGATAGAATCCATACTAGGCTGGCCATGGTGACCAATGATAGACAGGATCAAGGGGGAGACATACACTATCGTCCCTATGATCGTTGCAGACATGTACCAGGCTTTAGAGTGATGTCATAAGGGGTTCAGGTTCTTCGAGGGTTGCAACTTGCTGCTATAGGTCTGGTTGTTGGAACATCTCCAAAAGGGACAATACAATCAAGAATTTCCGCGAAGGCCGTGGAATGATCACATAGCCTTCCATCATCCCAAAAGAATGAACTATATTCCAGACATGTTTGCTCAGCTAGAGGATGTTGTGGGATGTGTATAGCTTTTCGAAAATTTGATCAAGGATCAAGTTTAGTAGATGTTCAAGTGGTTCCCTACCGATGAGTTCATCATCAGATCCAGAGATTTTCCACACTTGGTGTTGATTGGGTTGAGGGGCATATACCCATACGCTCCTCTCAGGGTTAGAAGACAAGCAGGCAGGAGACAGATCATACCACATGTCGCTAATATGTGTCACTTTAGAGCCAATTTTAGGGGTGACGCCACCCCGTATAAGAATGAAGCACAACACATATAGACCCTGAATATTATTATGGAGAAATATACTATCGATCCAGACTGATATCATGCGGGCCACTCGTACCTTTACCCTTCGTGGATAGAGGAAAACATAGTTAGGGTCTTTGAGCCAAGGGCTGGGCTAGGAAACAGGGTCATAGACGAGGTCGCTGAAGCGGAGGTGAAGTATAACAAGCTGCGGAAAAGGGTTCGAGAGTCTGAAGCTGAGCATATGGCGCTGCATAAGGCTAACATGGAGATGATTAATGAGTGGAAAGAAAGAGCTGTTAAATCTAGCGAGAGGCTGGAATATCTGGAGTACAGTTTAATGGAGTTAGAAGGGAAGATGAGAAAAAGGGTCACTGACTGCCAAGACGCTGAGGGAAATGAAGGAGGGCATCTAGCAAGGGCATTCCTACTGCTGAACCTGCGCGAGCTGGGAGAGTTGATCGACAAGAGAATCCAGTCTGGAGAGGTTCCTTCTGGGACCAAGTAGATTAGATTTATTTTATTTACTTTCAAATGTAATAAGGCCAAGTGACATTAGTGACATTATCTTATTTAATCTCATTTTGGTTCGTTTATTTTACATTAATGAAATGAGGCAATTATTGGCACTAAAACTCTCCAAATTTATTTTTTGCTATGCCTACCTCGGGTACAACGAGGCTCCCAAATTAGGACGCAAATTTACATTCCCGCAATATGTGTTTAAATATTACAAACATCTCAGAATCCTTACTGACTAGTTTATCTTTTTTTTCTTTATTTTTTATTCCCATCCCCAAGGTTGGTTCAATCATACTGGCATCATCAGCGTATCACACCAGATCTAGAGGCCCTCCTCCTCCTCCAAGTAATACAAAAGGCTAAGGAAAAACAAAAATGGACGACTTAAGTGGTAATGCAGATAACACAGAAACTTCAGACGGTTGGAGTACTCCGACACCAAATGATCTAGTTCTGAGGTTGGAACAAAAGATATTGGAGCTACAGGGAGAGCTTAAGCAGGTCCGCAACCTGGCAAATCCCTCACCCTGAATGTCCCCGACATCAACCAACAAAACACAAAGAACCCAACACCTCCCCAAAACACACCAAACCAACATCCACAAAACCCTCATGCACCACATCAATATGCAACCCCACCCCAAAATCTCAATCCCTTACCAATACCAACTTCGCCACAACATCACCATCAACCAATTTAGTATCCACCAATCGCCACTTATCATACTCCCCAGAGCACACCACAACCCATTCCCGATCCTCAAAACTCAACCAATGACCACCATTACACCCAGGCACCTGGCACTCACCACAACAACCCCATATACGTGGAAACCGTTCCTCACTCTATCCAACCAATCTCCTATACACCATAATCCTTCGAGAAGGACTTGCTTATTAAAAACATAGCTGAAGAACTCAAGAAATTGATGAGTCGAGTTCAAGGTGTCAAAGGCGACAAAGGAATAGAAGGTTTGAACTATGAAGATTTATGCATACAACCAGATGTAGAACTGCCAGAGGGTTACAAACCTCCCAAGTTCAAAATGTTTGATGGTACAAGTGATCCCAGGGTTCATTTGAGGACTTATTGTGTCAAGCTTGTTGGGGTCGGAAAGGATGAAAGATCCGGATGAAGCTCTTTGTGAGAAGTCTTACGGGAGATGCTTTGTCCTGGTACATCAGCCAGGATCCTAAGAAATGGTCCAACTAGGTGAGTATGGTGTCTAATTTCATGGATCGATTCAGGTTCAACACAGAAAATGTACCAAATCTTTTCTACATTCAGAACCATAAGAATAAGCCCACCGAAACTTTCCGCGAGTACACTACTCGTTGGAGGTCAGAAGCAGCCAAGATTAGGCCATCTTTGGATGAGGAACAGATGAACAAGTTCCTCGTCAAAGCACAGGATCCAAAATATTATAAAAGGTTGATGGTTATTGAAAATCATAAATTTTTTGATATCATAAAACTCGGAGAAAGAATCAAAGAATGAATCAAGAGCGGGATGGTGACAAACTTTGAAGCATTACAGGCCACAAATAAGGCATTACAATCAGGCGACATATCGAACAAAAGAGACGTTGGGGCAGTAATGGTGGCTTAAGGCCCGAAATATCCACTTACATATCAAACACCTCCACTCACATATCAAACACCTCCACCCATATACCAAGCACCACCACCCACATATCAACTTTCATCTCCCAGATATTCCCAAACAACCACTGCCTATCATACCTATAATTTCCAACCATCTCATTTCCAATCACCTCCAACTCGCCAAAATTATCCAAGAACACGACCCAATTTTGACCGTATGCCACCCAGACAGTACACCGCCATTTTTGAACCCATCGACCAACTATATGAAAGGTTGAAAGCCACTAGTTATTCACCTTTATTCCTGTTGTGGCATTAGAGAATCCATCTGAATGGGTCAACCCAAACAAAACATGTGCATTCCATTCCGGTATGAAAGGGCACACTATTGACGAGTGCCAAACATTGAAAGATAAAATCCAAACACTGATTGACAACAAGACTATACAGGCGAAAGAAGCTGCGCCCAATATCCGCAACAACCCCCTCCCTGATCATAGGGGTGGCGGGATATATGTGATAGAAATGGATGAGGAATGGGATCCTGAGGGGTCAATCGGGCTCATTCGAGAATGTGATTACTTTAAACCTGCAATCACACTTACTCCTATTGTAGTACAAACTCAGTCACTGATCGAAGTTGAGGTAGCTGCATCAGTTCCATTTGATGTAGAGGTAGCTCTACCTGCGGCCACCCCTGTTCCATTTGAACTAGAAGTGGACATACCTTTTACGGTGACAATATCAACCACACCTCCTTTCAACTCAAAAGAAATACCATGGGATTATATTGCTGAGGCTAGGTAAAAAGGAAAGGCAAAGATGGAGGAATCCGATGCTGTGCAAGGAATGACCAAGACCAGGAGAATCTATACACCTGAACACTTGGGAGGACCAAGTAAGGATGCTGCTACCAAGAAGCCTGTCATTGAAATAGGACCAGATGACCTTTGGAGGAAAGTGCAAGAAATGGAATATTCCGTCATTGATCATTTGAACAAATAAACTTAGATATCCATACTATCACTGTTGCAGAATTCAGAAGCACATAAGAATGCTTTGATGAAGGTTTTGAGTAAAGCTTATGTACCCAACAATATCACCTGTGGAGAGACGGCCAATATGGTAGGTCAGGTGCTAGAAAGTCATAAGATAATCTTCCACGAAGATGAGCTGCCGCCTGAAGGGTTGAATCACAACAGAGCATTGCATATCATAGTGCAATTTGAACACAAATTCATTGTTAGGGTCTTGATTTGTAGAGGTTCGAGCCTCAATATTTGTCTGTTAGATACTCTGAAAAGATTGGGCAAAGGTTTCCATGCAATACAGGTAGGGAGAATGAACGTGAAAGCTTCCGATGGGTCCCAAAGGGCCACGATTGGGGAAATTAATCTTTGTCTACAAATGGGGCCAACTTGGTTCGATGTCGAATTTTAGGTGCTTGACATATCAGCCTCACACAATCTTCTGTTAGGACGACCATGGATACATGCTGCCGGAGCTGTGGCTTCCACACTACATCAAGCTGTGAAATTCGAATAGAACCATCAGGAGGTGATCATTCATGGATATGGGAGTAACCCTATTTACACCAGTCAAACCATCCCGGTTATTGGAAACAGAAGAAGGTTAGGAGGGGAAACCTATCATCACATCGAACGTGTCAATGTCATCAAGAAAGACAAATGGTGGAGTAGAAAAATAGAAAGCATACTGGCATGATCTAGGTATGAACCCGACAAAGGGCTTGGGAAGAATCTCCAGGGTATTACTAAGCCGATACAACTGAAGCGTCATGGTACTACCTTCAGGTTTGGGTACCAGTATACATGGAAAGAGTATAATGATTGGTCGCCTCCATGACACGGACCGTATTACCCTCTGGATCAACCAGTTCCACATCTGGATCAAGCTTTTCACCAAGCTGATACAATATGGGGAACTGCAGAAGAAGAAGCATTAGCTGGGCTGAGGAATCTATTTTTGGAGGATGGAGACATGGACTGCAATACAATAATTGAGGAGGAGGAGGAAGAAGGCCTCACTATCACTATTCAGACTGTGGAGAAGGGAGCTGTTCTCAAGAACTAGACCGCCAATGAGATACCTGAGGAAGTTGTCAGGGAAGTTGAAAACTTTGAGAATAAGCCTAAGTCCAACCTGGATGAAACTGAAGCAGTAAATTTGGGGGATGCCGAGACCGTCAAGGAGACTCACATCAGCATTCACTTATCACCGATAGAGAAATAAGAATACATCTATTTTCTAAAGGAATATGAGGACATTTTTGCATGGTCATATGATGACATGACTGGTTTGAGCACGTCCAAAGTGGCTCACAAGTTGCCTACTAATCCCATGTGTCCGCCAATGAAGCAAAAACTCAGAAAATTGAAACCAAACATGAGTCTGAAAATCAAGGAGGAAGTTACTAAGCAGATCAAAGCCAAGGTTCTCAGGGTTGTTGAGTACCCAACTTGGTTAGACAACATTGTACCAGTTCCGAAGAAAGATGGGAAAGTGTGATGACCCAAAAGGTCTTCACTTGTTTTATAAATAAATTCTACATTTCGAGGCCTTAAAAACCTCTTTTTGTCTCACCTTAATTTGCATGCACAGTCTGGGTGCATAGCCGGAAAGCCATTATGTGAAAATCTGTGAAAAATGCTGAATTTTGTCTTTAAAATGAGTTTAAATTGACTTCGGTCAATATTTTGGGTAAACGAACCCGGATCCGTAATTTGATGGTCCCAGAGGGTCCATAGGAAAATATGGGACTTGGTCTTATGCCCGGAATTGAATTCTGAGGTCCCCAAGCCCGAGAAATGAATTTTTGAAAGAAATTATTTTGCTGAATTAATTATGAAATAAAGAAAAGAATTTATGTTTGAAACCATTGGTATCGAGCCCATATTTTTGGTCCATAGCTCGGTACAGGTCTTATATATGATTTGAGTCGAGCCTGTAAAATTGGGTAAGAAACGGACTTGAAATAACGTGACTCGGACCTTATTTGAGAAAATTAGAAAATTTGATGTTCTTAAGTGATTTTATGATTTTGATGCTAAATTATTATTTGTTGGTGTTATTATGGTGATTTGAATGCACGAGCAAGTCCGTATGAAGTTTTTAAGTTGGTGTACATGTTTGGTTTGGAGCCCCGAGGGCTCGGGTGAGTTTTGGATAGGCCACAAGGTGTTGATACCCAATTTCTCTCTATATACTTTTCAATATGCGAAATACCTTCAAAATAGCATATGTATTCATATATAAGCATGTTAAAGTGTTTTATTATTTTTTCATAATTTTAAAGGTTTTTAAATTAATTTATTTTCCCTTTTTATCCATAAAATCCCCAATAATTATTTTTAAAATTATTATTTTGATAATTCATCTATTGGATTTTTATACTTATGCCAAAATATGGCTAAATTAATTTTTACATATTTTTACAATTTTATTTAGTATTTATAAAGCTAAATTGTACATAATTGCAATATTAGCCTTTTAAGGTTTAAATAGGTTTTATATTCACAAAATTGAGTCCTGTATTTTTATATTGTTAATTATGTGTTATAAATCATTTTAGTACTTTAATTTATTTTTCAAAAACTGTGTACCATTTTTTATAAATTAAAAAGGGAAAACTGGCTATTTATATAACAACCCCTTTTGCATTTCAATTATAACCCAAATCGGACCCCAATTCCCCATACCAATTTTGATTTAAACCCGACCCTAAACTTTTTAAACCCAACCCAAACCCGGATCCCCACCTACCCCGTTTAATCTAGATTGTTGATCATTTAGATCAACAGTCTCTATTCACCCTTCCATAATTAAACCAAAACGAACCATTAACCTACTTTATTTCCACCAACACGTTGCCCTTGAATCCCCTTCCTATCCAATTCTCTCTACAA